GATATTAGCCCTTTGTCAGATGGGTAGATTGCAAAAATTTTTTCCCATTCTGTTGGTTGCCAGTTCACTCTGATTGTTTCTTTTGCTATGCAGAAGCTCTGGAGTTTAATTAGATCCCATTTGTCTATTTTGGCTTTTGTTGCCATGCTTTTGGTGTTTTAGTCATGAAGTCCTTGCCTTTGCCTATGTTCTGAATGGTTTTGCCTAGGTTTTCTTCTAGGGTTTTTATGCTGTTAGGTCTTACGCTTAAGTCTTTAATCCATCTGGATTAATTTTAGTGTAAGTTAATTTTAGTGTAAGGTGTCAGGAAAGGGTCCAGTTTCTGCTTTCTGCACATGGCTAGCCAGTTTTCCCAACACCATTTATTAAACAGGGAATCCTTTCCCCATTGCTTGTTTTTGTGAGGTTTGTCAAAGATCAGATGGTTATAGATGTGTGGCCTTGCCTCAGAGGCCTCTGTTCTGTTCCATTGGTCTATATCTCTGTTTTGGTACCAGTAACATGCTGTTTTGATTACTGTAGGCTTGTAGTATAGTTTGAAGTCAGGTAGCATGATGCCTCCAGCTTTGTTCTTTTTGCTTAGAATTGACTTGGCTATGCGGGTTCTCTTTTGGTTCCACATGAAGTTTAAGGTGGTTTTTTCCAGATCTGTGAAGAAGGTCATTGATAGCTTGATGGGGATAGCATTGAATCTATAAATTACTTTGGGCAGTATGGCCATTTTCACGATGTTGATTCTTCCTAACCATGAGCATGGAATGTTTTTCCATCTCTTTGTGTCCTCTCTTATTTCCTTGAGCAGTGATTTGTAGCTCTCCTTGAAGAGGTCCTTTACATCCTTTGTTAGTTGTATTCCTAGGTATTTTATTCTCTTTGTAGCAATTGTGAATGGCAGTTCGTTCTTGTTTTGGTGCTCTTTAAGTCTGTTACTGGTGTATAGGAATGCTTGTGATTTTTGCACATTGATTTTGTATCCTGAGACTTTGCTGAAGTTGCTTATCAGTTTCAGGAGATTCTGGGCTGAGACGATGGGGTCTTCTAAATATACAATCATGTCATCTGCAAATAGAGACAATTTGACTTCCTCCTTTCCTAATTGAATACCCTTTATTTCTTTTTCTTGCCTGATGGCCCTGGCTAGCACTTCCAATACTATATTGAATAGCAGTGGTGAGAGAGGGCATCCTTGTCTAGTGCCAGATTTCAAGGGGAATGCTTCCAGTTTTTGCCCATTCAGTATGATACTGGCTGTGGGTTTGTCGTAAATAGCTTTTATTATTTTGAGATAGGTTCTGTCAGTACCTAGTTTCTTGAGAGTTTTTAGCATAAAGGGCTGTTGAATTTTGTCGAAGGCCTTCTCTGCATCAATTGAGATAATCATGTGGTTTTTGTCTTTGGTTCGGTTTATGTGGTGAATTACGTTTATAGACTTGCATATGTTGAACCAGCCTTGCATCCCTGGGATGAAGCCTACTTGATTGTGATGGATAAGTTTTTTGATGTACTGTTGCAATCTGTTTGCCAGTATTTTATTGAAGATTTTTGCATCTGTGTACATCGTGGATATTGGCCTGAAGGTTTCTTTTCTTGTTGAGTCTCTGCCGGGTTTTGGTATCAGGATGATGTTGGTCTCATAAAATGATTTGGGAAGGATTCCCTCTTTTTGTCTTGTTTGGAATCGTTTCAGAAGGAGTGGTACCAGCTCCTCTTTGTATGTCTGGTAGAATTCAGCTGTGAACCCATCTGGACCTGGGCTGTTTTTGGTTGGTAGGCTATTGATTGCTGCCTCAACTTCAGCCCTTGTTATTGGTCTATTCAGGGTTTCGACT